GATAACAGGGAGGAGATAGGGCGGTGGGGGGGAGGTGTCAGAGCAACAGCAAACTAGAGGTACCAAGAGGCAGGAATAAGGGGAAAGTGCCGGTGGGGCAGGAGGAAGGTAAAAGGAAACAAAGGACCTAGGAAGCAAAGCAATGGATTGAGGTATAAACACAGAGGTGTACATATGTAAACACATTAATCCACAAAAATAGAAGCATTGGCCTATGTATATATATTTATATGGCAATACATTGAGGTAGGAGACAGACTTCGGGCTCTGCTCATACCCTTTCTCAATAGAAGAACACTTTGTTCTAACAAATCGGCAGTCTTAGATGTTCACCCTCCCGACACAATCACTGAAGACAAAGCGGGTGCATAAGCAAATGCGGTGAAGAAGGCGAATGGTGACCGGCTATTAAAAGATATAGCATGTGGGGTCTTAAAGGCTTTAGTTATACAAGCCACCACTCAGCAGAGGAGCAACAAGCCCACATGGAAGAAGCACACCACCAGTGTGATCATGAGGAGTCATAGGGACCGGGTAATAGGCATCAGCAGACACATTAACAAGTAAACAAACAAAAACATATTGTTGAGAATTACGGGGGGTGGAGCAGAGATCCAAAGCCCATCTGTAGACAATGGAACAATCCCCCCACACAGGGACCACAAGGAAGAGATGAGTCAACCAGGGTGCAGTAAAGCATTGATGAAACACCCTCTATATTCCTCTGGTTTCTTGAGGCTTCCTCACTCCCACTACCATGACCCGAATGCTGCTTCTGAAGTCAGACTACACAGGAACCTGTACACGGGTATAGATAAGAGATGGGTGCTCACGACACACGGAATCCAGGATCAGGAGTGGGAATAGCAATACCAGAAGGGTAGGGGGAAGAGGGGGAGAGGAAGGAAGAAAGGGGGAACCGATAGCAATGATCTATACATAATCATACACCCCTCTCCAGGGGGAAGAATAACAGAAAACATGGGGGAAGGGAGACAGCGTGAGATATGAAAATAATAACAATTTATTAATTATCAAGGGGCTATGAGGTGGGGAGGGGGAAGAGAATAATTTATAATTTATCAAGAGTTCAGGAGGGAGAGGAAAAATGAGGAGCTGTTATCAAGGGCTCAAGTAGAAAGAAAATGCTTTGAAAATGATGATGGCAACATAGTACAAGTATGCGTGACACAATGGATGAATGTTTGGATTGTGATGAGAGCTGTAAGAGTCCCCAATAGAAGCATTTAATTAAAAAAAGTGACAGAATGTTCTTTATTTGTTACAATTGACATGATATAAGAATGAGATGTCCTGATTAATCCATAGTTTCAAAAGAATTACCATATATTTCAAATAGTGATAACCAAATAGTAAAAATACTATGAAATACATACACATGCCAGCTAGACAATATCTCAAACTGGTAGAACTATGTGAAAGAGCATTCCATTTGAAGGAGAGTCTCAATAGTGTTTGAATATTATAATCATCTGGGAAGCTTTCAAATAATACTGAAAGCCAACCTTGGTAAAGCTGACATTTAGGGTAAATAATTCTCGTTGTGGCGGTGGGTGGTTCAGGACTGGGCAATGTTTGGTTCTGTTATACGAGGAAGTTTTTAAAAGTTTAGAAATACTCTATTATCTTTTAATTAAATGTTTTCCCACAAACTTTTTGACACCCCTTGTAACTTAAGGTCTTATGTATAAGGGTCAACTTGACAGTACTTAACAACTAAATGAGACAAAAAATCAGTAGGGTGTCCGGCAATTTTCTTTTAAGCTCCTGGGGTGAGTTTAATACACAGCCACATTGAAAACCACTGATTTAGTATACTGAATACTTCTAGCTCTATAAACCTTCTGTGAAAGCATCTCATGCCAATTCAGACGAACACAAAACTACCTTCAAGGGTTTTTTGTTTTGTTTTATACTACTTTCAGTACATTCCAACCAAGCAGAGTTGAAGGGCTCTGCTTCCTTTAGATAACATGTATTACTCTCCTAAATAGGTAAGAAGGAAAAGTAAATGGTTTTATAAATGGTTTATCTTAAAAAAAAAACACCCTGCCTTAGGCAGTCTATCTCAAAATTTTACTGAAAGCAATTTGGAGATAAAAATCTAAAACATTAATAAAGTGAGACAATAAAGTACTCTAACAGTAGAACAATTCCGGTTCTGATCAATGAAAGTTGCTCCATTTGTATTAGGAAGCTGGTGAGCCTCATCAATGTAGGCTCCAGACAGGAGTCTAATAAAAAGCGATTTTACTTGTCAATAAGAGGAATGTTGTATCAGAAAAACATTAAGTAGTGAAATGGCAGAATAATTTATGTAACATCACCTATATTCTGGAGCACAAAGATCAATCTTTGCTATTGTAGAATTGTTTCCTATATAAGCCATTAATTCTTCGTAAGATTGATTTATCTTAAAGGCACTGTGGCTCAGGCACAAAATGACAAATGGTGCTGAAACACCAAGAATTGACCATTCAAAATAATTAGTTCTGGTATGAGATATCTTTTGCGACCTTTTTCTTACAACATTATCTATGTCACCATGTACATAGGACTAGAATCTTTTGGTTAGCTGGTTCACAAAATATAAGACTGGTCCACAAGTCTAGAAGGCAATGAATATTGGTTTACTTAAGTATCTACCACAATAGATCCTAGATTATGTTCTCTTAAATTCCATGGAGTTACCAAATAATCTACTTTATTGCAGTAAAACTCTTCAGGCCAGGAAAAAAAATTGCTTACGAATTCTATGCATCCACGTTTCATCAATGTGAGGTTCCTGCTCATAAACAATGGTGTAGAAAGACTAGACAGTGGTCCTCATGCTTTCTTCGTCAGACCACATGCAGCACATTTGAAAGGGGGAGGCATAAAATTGAAAGGATATTGGATTATAGGTTTGACTAAGGTTATCAGCACGGGACGAAAGCAGAACTTTCTGCTCTAGTATAGTTATAATTTAAAAAACTCACAAGGGCAGTTCCACCCAACCCTATAAGGTCGCTGTGAGTCAGCATCCACTTGATTGAAGCGAGTGAACGAAAAGGCTAGCGGCTTTAAAGGTTTAACAAAGAAGGGACAACAAGGGTGTTCTTGTGAGCTCTTTCACTTTCAATGGACTGACACTTCAAAAGAGGCCAAAAGAGATCATGGACCCATGACCTTTGACTGGGTGTGTAAGCCAAGATAAAGAACCTGGGGGGTTGGCTCCTTGGTTCATTATCAGCTCAAGGGTCACATTCATCAAAATGGAAGCTCTGCATTGGGTTCTAAATAAGCATGAGCACTGTAGAGCCTAGTTAGGATTCTACCTAGAAAGAGACAAATAAAATATCCAGAGATTATATCCCATAAGAAATAAATACTGTATATAAACAAAGCTATGCAATTGAACCCAATCACTACACATTTGCAGTGCTCAGATAAACACATGACAGACTTTGGAAAAATACAGTGTAATCTACACTACATACCTCTTAACGTCTTACTCAGATCTGCAAATTAAACAGTATAAATCATCTTCATGTTGACCCTACTTCAGAGGCAAATGTGGCAAGTCTCAAATCCTCACTTAGCTCGAACACTCAATTTCAGCTATTTTACATTTATATCAGTGATTCACCAAATTACTAATCATAATCAAAGCAGATAGACCAGAGTTTGCCCTCTTCCCTGTTTTGTCAGAGCAGCAGACTGACAGAGAAAGGGAGCAGAGAAGCAGCCGCCTCGACATCCACAAAGCAGACAGCACTGCACAGACGGCATTAGCGGACTTCAACATGTTCATGGAAAAGTCCATCGCCTTGCAGAGTAGCAGAAACAATAAAAACACACACTCACCCCACAAGTATCTCTACTGTGATAAGTGAAGTGATTTCCTCTAAAAAGGAGAGTCCTGGAGAATTTGTCAAACTGGTCACGTACCCCTTAGTCTTAATGCTGGACCTCTGTACTTTTGCGGAAAAAATTAAAGTCAAAGCAACGGGCGACACTACCATTTCAAAACGTCATCTCCTTCCCCGGCTTCTGAAGGTATGCTTCTGAGCAGCCAAGCAGACACTCATCCAACAACTAAGTAAGTTTCAATCTAGTATAGACTGATCATTCAAAAAACAAAACAAAAACTAACCACGTCCAGGACTAAAGGAGAAGCTAGTTAAATTTGACTGTCACTAAATGATATGATTTATAGCCTTTATTTCGGCTTCCCTGGGAACCACATTTTTGTATCTAAGTAGGCAGAAAATGAAAATTAATAGCCACAAGTTACCTATAATGGAACACTAAATACCTTAGTTGCTTCAAGAACTCAACATCAGAGTTGCTGTTAATAAGCTTGATGAACTCCTCATAAGAAGGAGCGTAAGTGTAGGCTCTCTTGTGATGTTCATTCATCTGTTCCCTGTATTCCAACTGGCTAAGGAGCGTTTGGTTAATATAATCTGGATCACTCAGCAACTCCACCACTGGCTTCAAGACTGTGGGGAAAAGAAAGCACTGATGAAAAAGTAAGTCTTTTAAGGACTTTTTCATGTTACACAATGGAAACTTTATTTTTATTTATTTATTTTTTGGGAAACTTTATTTTTAAAATGCCCAAATGGTAGGAATTACAAACAACTCAAATATTAAAAAAAATACACACACATACAAGGCTACCTAGTCCTCTGGGTATGCTACCAAATACAGTTACATTCGAGTAGTTCTTTCAATAGATGAGTTAAATGTCAAGGAATAGTGAAGAGTCATTTTGAGACCAAGATGCAAACAAATTTAGCAAAAACACTTGATTTTTTTTCCCTCCTCCTTTTTTTAAAAGGCTCCATATGTTTTAGTGGAGCTGCCAACAATGAAAGTCAGCATGCTTCCAACTGGGCAAAGCAAAGGCTCCTGGAGAAAACTGTTTAAAAGCCAATGGCACTATTACAAATTCCTCCTACTTCAGGTTAAAAAGCTTCCCTACTCTCAGCTAATAGGCACAGTTGGCTAATAACTGGGATAATAAATAAGACAATTACCAATGAGATAAAAGGATTAAATAATTAAAATAAACAGAGTTATCCACTTGAAATTCTGAAATAAAGAATAATTTCTCTTCGCTACTTTTCAATTTTCTTTTTCCTGGCTAATCATTATCTTGGAGTTAACTTTTTTCTAGTGATCATATTGTGGTATAATGCTGTTGTTCAGTGCTGTCCAGTCAGTTACAACTCAGAGACCTTGTGTACTACAGAAAGAAACACTGTCTGGCCTATATCATCCTCATGATTGTTATGCTTGAGCCCACTGTTGCAGCCACTGTGTTAACCCATCTTGGTGAGGGTCTTAGTAAAAATTATGGCCTTCTCTCTGAACTGGTCCCTTCTAATGACATGTTCAAAGTATGTGAGATGAAGTCTTGCTATCCTCCCTTCTAGTAAGCATTTAACTAAGATTTGTTCTACTGGCAGTCTACAGTATATTCAACATTCTTCACCAATACCATCATTCATATGAACCAATTCTTCTGTGTTCTTCTTTATTTATTGTGCAGCTCTATGAGGTACAGGAAAAATACCACGGTTTGGGTCAGGCACACGAGTCATCAAAGCATTATCTTAGCTTTTTGATACTTAAAAATGGTCTTTTGTAGCAAATTTGCCTGATTCAAAGTTTGACTTTAATATCCTTGGGAACGTCAATACTTTGTTTATCAAGATGTTGCTTATTGGTCCAATTGTGGAGAGAATTTTTGTTTTATCTTGAGTTGCAATCCAACTGAAGGCTGTAGTCTTTGGTTTTAACCAGGGAGTGCTTCAAGTTCTCTTTGCTGAATTTCAGCAAGCAAGGTTGCGTCCTCTGCACAATGCATGTTGTTAATCTTCCTTTGATCCTGATGCCACTTTTATTTTCATGCGCTCCAGGTGCTCAGATTACTTGCTCAGCATACAGAATGAATAAATATGGTAAAAGAATACAACTCTGGCACACCTTTGCTAATTTTAAACCAGGAGTATCCTCCTGTTCTGTTTGAACAATTGCCTCTTGGTCTGTGTACAATAAAGCATTCTGAATTTTCCATAGTTAACAGTGTTATACAGAGCTTGTTACGATCCACAGAGTCAAATGCCTTGGCATAATCAATAAAATACAAGTAAATAACTTTCTCATATTTTTGCTTTCAGCCAAGAGCTATCTCACATCAGCAATTATAACCCTCATTCCAAGTCATCGTCTGAATCTGGCTTGAATTTCTGGCTACTCCCTCTCCATGTTCTTCTGTAAAATAGTATTTGCATGCAATTTTAATTACTGTTTAAGGGCTGCGGGTTGGATCAAACCTGTATCAACCTCATACACAATAGAACCAAGTACTACCTGTCCCTGCACCATTCTCACAATGTTTATGTTAAGGGTCTTCTTTTTTACTGTCTCTCTACTTCATATGTATAATGCCCTTCCACAGGGACTTGTCTCTCCTGATAATAGGTCCAAAATACTAGAGATAAGGTTTCGTTATCTCATTTCTACAGAACCTTCTAGCTTAGCAGTTCTCAATCTGTGGGTGGTGACCCCTTTGGGAGTCGAACGACCCTTTCACAGGGGTCACCCAATTCATAACAGTAGCAAAATTACCGTTAGGAAGTAGCAATGAAGAAAATTTTATGGTTGAGGGGCGTCACCCTAACATGAGGAACTGTATTAAAGGGTTACGGCATTAGAAAGGTTGAGAACCACTGCTCTAGCTGAACTTTGGTTCTTCCGGCAGTCTATGGTCTAGTCACTATTCTTCACTAACACCATCGCTAAAATGCACCAATTCTTTCCCAGTCTTCTTCATACTAACAATCGTACTCAATAATTTCCACATTCTGTTGAATCATCTGTCTTTGGAATAGGTACTAATATGGATCGCTTCCTGTCGGTTGGCCAGGTAGCTGTCTTCTAAATTTCTTGGCATAGGCAAATCAGCACTTCCAGCATTGCATTACTGGTAATTTGTTGTTATTCTTCAACTCCAAGAACTTTGTCTTTCGTCAGTAACTTCAGTTTAGCTTGGACTTCTTTCAACACTATTGGTTCTTGATCATATGCTATCTCCTAAAATTGTTGAATGTCAACACATTCTTTTTGGTATAGTGGCTCTCTATATTCCTTCCATTTTCTTTTGATGCTTCCTGAATCATTCACTGTGGAGCCCTCATGTCATAGTGGTTATGTGCTGGGCTGTAATCCTCAAAGTCAGCAGTTCAAAACCACAAATCGTTCCTCAGAGAAAGATGGGGTTTTCTATGCCCAAGTCTCAGAAACTCCTAGGGGCAGTTCTGTTCCATCCTATGAGTTGGTGTAGATTCGATGGCAATGAGTTTGGTTTGTTTAGAATCATTCCATATCTTTCCCATAGAATCTTTCGACATTGTAACTCAGGCTTGAATTTTTCTTTAGTTCTTTCAGCTTGAGAAACACTCAGTGTTTTCTTCCCTTTGGGCTTGTTAGTTCCTGGTCTTTGCATATTTTATTATAATACTTTGTCTTTTCCAGCTGGCTTCTGAAATCTGTTCAGCGCTTTTTCATTATATCTTCCATTCATGTTAGTTACTCTGCATTCATGAGCAAATTTCAAAATCTCCTATGACATTCGTTTTAGTCGTGTCTTGCTCTTTTTATAACCTTTTGCTTTCTTCACATACCATGCATGTCCTTGGTGTCATCCCCAACTCTTCAGGTCCTTTGGTCACCAGTGTTCAAGGAGTCAAACCTATTCCTGAGACGGTCTCTACATTTAGATGGGATACACTCAAGGTTGCATTTTTGTTCTTGTGGACTTGTTCTAATTTCTTCAACTTCAACCTGAACTTAATATGAGCAGCTGATGGTCTGTTCCACAGTCAGCCCCTTGTTCTGAGCGTCTCCATCCCCTTTCCACAGATCTAGTTGATTTGATTCCTGCGAATTCTATTTGGCAAGTCTCAAATGTATGTCGACTTTCTGTTATTGAAAAAAGGTATTTGCAATGAATGTCAGTGGTCTTGAAGAATTCTACCCTGTAATCCCCAACTTCCTTCTTTTCCAACTATGACCCTTCTTCATTTGCAACTTTTGCATTCTAATCACCAATAATTATCCATGCATCTTAAATTCATTTTGAAAATCAACTTTAGAGGAGCTGATCCCAGGGGCTTGGGGGGAGAGCGGATGTTTTGCGAATGTTGAGGGCAATGAATGTACAAATGTGCTTTACACAACTGATGTATGTACGGATTGTGATAAGAGTTGTATGAGCCCCTAATAAAACGATTTAAAAAAAAGAAAAAGAATCTTTGATCAAAACATATGGTAACGGTAGCTAGGCACCATCCTAACTTTTACTTCAGTGGAGATATTTATAGGTTCACATCCAGTAAGAAATAATAGATAGATTCTGTGTACATCATGCCCAGTTTTCCCCAATGGTAAAATTTTGCCAAATATTGGTATTGATCCAATCCAAAAAATAAATAAATAAATAAAATGAAAATCTACTTTAGACTCCAGAAGTTGGTAAAAAAAATTAGTTTCATCTTTGATGCATAATTTTAGTAACCGTCATATTAAATGGTTTTCTTCATAGACAGCCCTGTGATATTATCCTATCTATGATAGCACTGTACTTCTGAATAGCCCCTGAAATGTTTTTGACAATGGATATAATGCCATTCTAGTCAATTTTTCATTCCAGCAGAGTAGACTATATAACTATCCTTTTCAAAATGTTAATACCAATTCATTGCAGCTCACCAAGCCGTAAGGTATCAATCCTCAAGCATTCCATTTCACTTATGACAATTTCTATTAGCCGGTGACTTACTTTATACATTCTGATTACTAATGGATGTTTGCGTCAATTTGTTTTCTCATTTTGAGTCATGCTCCACCAGTCAATAAAGATCCCCCCAAACGTGCTACATACACATAATCGAGCTTGACTCTTTGAAAAGGCAGCTCTTCCCCAGCTGTATTTGGTGGGGCTCATGTGTCAGCGGTCTATGAAATAATGTCCCTCTGCTACTCATGGGGTTTTCACTTCTTATCTGTCAGCTTGTTATGTTGTGTGCTCGCATGTTGCTATGAGGCTGGAAGCTATGCGAGCAGTATTGCAAAGACCAACAGGGTCACCGATAGTGAACGAATTTCATAGAGCTTCAAGACTGAGGCAAACAAAGCTGATAAGGCTGGAGATTGACTTTTGGAAAAGATTGGCCAGTTAAAAATATGGTGCCATAGTCCTGCTTTTATTTATCCTAAATTCACAAAATTATGCCCAGGCATTATCAATTAATCTTATAGCAAAGGTATATTTTATAATGCCACTGCAGAGTTTGAAGACATAGCATTGTTTCATTAAAGCATGTATCATTGGCCTAGATAACTCAAAAACTATCCTAAATGAATACTTCCTTGTGGAGAGCATAGAACCAGCTTTCCTGTGTCAAAATAAATAGAATGTTTTGCTCACTAGACCATCTGTTACATAAAAATTTCAGGCTTAACATACATGGCCAGAGAGGCTCTCTTGAAAAGACATTTTTTTTTTTAAGGTTTTATTTTATTTTATTTTTTTTACATTTTATTAGGGGCTCATACAACTGTTATCCCAATCCATACACACATCAATTGTGTAAAGCGCATTTGTACATCGTTTCTCAAAACATTTTCTCTCCACTTAAACCCTCGACATTAGGTCCTCATTTGATACGACATTTAAACTTAAAATCCTGATAAGACTTTAATTCTCACAAGTCCCACAGCATATAAGAAAGTTAACGGGGGTGTCCTGTAGTGTTACCACATTAGTATGAAGCACATTAGTTTGCACAATTATCATTGCATTAGTAATATCAATTTTATAAGTCTACCTTTTGTTGTGAGAATTTCTGCAAGCACTAAACGCAAGCTGAGAGACTGGGCATCCTTTGAGGGGAGCAGACAGAACACCAGAACCCTCGAACATGTTTGTAGAAATCTTACTTCATCATCTGAGTTCTTCAAGCACGCATGCAGCACAAAAGGCCTTGGCAGTTCTTCATGTCTAAAGCAATACATAATTGAATGGAGAGACGAGGAAGAAAAGAAGCTTATGGAAAAAATTCAGTTACAGACCATTTGGTAAAAATGAAGTGGATGAAGGAAAATACCATGTGCTTCAATACGTTCGTTTTAATGTGTCACCTCTAGTAATATTAACAATTTTCTCAAATGCAAATGATTATGTTTTAAAAACAATTTTACAAAAACTAAACTCACTGCTATGGAACTGATTTGACTCCAGAAGTGCTCCTTTGGGTGTCTGAGGCTGTAAACCTTTATGAGAGCAGAAGGCCTCATCTTTCCCCCAAGAAGTGGCTGGTGGGTTTGAATTACCAACCTCGTAGTTAGCAGCCCAATTCGTAGCGGACTCCACGTATCAGCACTCCTCATTATCTTACATAGAAGCTCAGAACTGTAGCTGCTACCCGGGGTGGGAGAGAGGGGAAAGATGGAGTGCTAGTGGGAGCATTCTTTTAAGATTTCCAATCAGGTAGTGGCAACTACCTGAAGTCACGTCAACAGCTGCAGGTCACTCACAAATCACAGCAGTTCAGAAATGTATTTCTTTAACTAACTGTTCATAAATCATCTCTCTTCTTTAAATTGATCTACAGTTTCATTTTGAAAAACAAAACAGAGCATGAAATAGGACCCGTGGCCAACTTTGCTGACAGAGTGACCACGGGGTCAAAGCATCTCAGGACGGGGAAAGAGCGCTGTCCAGTGGAGGTCAGCCACAGTAGGCAGGCCGGAATGTGACACCTTGTCATTAGATCTCCTTTCAGACCCATTTTGAATTCATTCTGATTTTTAATATTTTCTGCTTTCTTTTTTACTGGGATTTTTCTGTTTTATTTGGTCAATGGTGCTGGGTTCTTTTTGTTTTTTTCCCCCCTTGTTTTGCATGTTTTTCTGTATAAGGAAGTCAGGATGGATGGATCTATGAAGACAGCAACTGATTAGTAATCATCTGGGGGCACAGAGTGGGAGGGTGGGGTGCACTGGGGAGTCAACAGCAATGGGTACAAGTTGGAAGAAAATGTTCCAAAGTTGAGTGTGATGATGATTGTAGACCCCTTTTTAATATGACTGATTGTATGGTTTGTTAATGATCGCTCAATAAAATTTTTTTTAAAGTCTAAGGCTATTTCTAGTGAGGTGAGGTCTATGACTGGACGCTACATAATTTGATAGCCGACTGCCTTTTGTACGGCTTACAAGCATTTTCGAACCCATCTTGCCAGCACTGGTGCTTAAAACCAACCCCACTTCTAAACCCAAGCCAATGATTTGGAGATCTGGATGAAGAGTAATAAAAAGTGGAACCTTTAATCTCTCCCTTTCCCACAGCATTATTATTACTATTAAAATAAGCATACTATTAAAAACACATACCAATGCAACAAATTCTATGTGTAAGATTCAGTAACATTGACTACATTGTTCAAGTTGTGCAACGATTCTCGCTAATTTTTCTCATATGAGGGGGCTTCAACAAGTTCATGGGAAAAACCCTATTATCTTTTAATTCCAGTTTTTCACAAACTTCTTGGAGCCCCCTTGTATTTCTTCCAGCTCAGAGGGAAAATATAAGGGGTGTTTAGAATAACTGGAACCAACACTGAGAGTTAAACATTAAGGAATTGTGGAAGAAGCACACTAGGTACCAGAAAGGGAATGAAACAAATAAATGCGTACTGTTTTCTCACGAGTAATGGCAGTTAGTTCCTAGGGGAGGTACACAGAAAATAAACAGGTCCTCTTCATCTTTTAATACAAGCTAGATGAGTTCAATCCTAACATGCAAAGCTACCACCAACAAAGAGATTTAATGGTCCGCCTTTACACATGCCCTAATACATATTGCCTTTTAAAAATGATTGATAATTCTGAGCATTTTAAACTATGCTCTAGTTGAAGTAATATTTTAATGTGCTAAGACTAAGATGCTATTCCTATGCCGTGTCAACCACTTTTAAAATAAAATAATTATTATGTAATTGGGAAGGTTGGCCCAAAAATAATCTACTACGAAAGAAGCTTCTTGAGATCATGTGAAAATCCCCTCAAAGTACACGGAGTCCCCTTTCTGTCCCAGTAGGAGGCAGATTCAGAGGGAACATGGTCTCCAGACTGCTACAGCTTCGTTTCTCTTCTAGAGCTGAGTTAGGACAACACCTTTCAAGAAGTGAAACAAGCCTGACCTATGGAATATGGAAAGGTGCTGCCTCCCTGGAATCCCCATGAGGGCCGTATGATACTCTTTAAGTAGTAAACCTGGAGCCAATAAAAGATCACAAGACCTGTGACTACTTCTAGGGCAGCAGATGTCTGCCTCGCCTTCTGGTGGGTTATACGTTTCATCTCTGTAGCATCCTTCTGTCAGTGTGGCCCAATCATCTGTCGACTTCAATTCCAGCTATTTACCTCTGGGTTTGGTAAAATGGAGCAAAGGCCATTTTACCTCCTTAAAGTTTCATATGAATACTATTATTTAATCCTCACAGCTATACCAAGAAAGAGTTCGATATCACCATCACCATTTGCTAAGGGGAAATGAACGATCGGAATGGCCAGGTGAAGAGTCTAAATCAGAGGGCTACAATAAGAAAACTAGCTTTCAGACCTTATTCTGGCTGACTCTCAAGTCCACGCTCTCCCAATTACCTCACAATGAGAGGGTGCAAAGTTAAAGGGCGGAGATATGTGGAAGAGGAAACTGTGTAAATAAAAACAATCTCCTTTTTACCTCTCAAAGAGCATACTGGTGCCTGAACCAAAAAAGATGCAGAGATTTTCTTAAGAAAGTGTGAAATTGAAGATGCTACTGTTTTAACAGCATAAAAAGAATCATTTTCAGATTTCCCTGAAACATTCACAAACAAGACAGATGGGACAAAGGAAGCAGAGACAAGAATTAAATGGGATCTGGATTGGCTTAAAGCAGCAAAAGAACGATGGGTCTAGAAATAAATACAGACTGCCCGGAAAACTGCCGCCACACAATTGCCTGACAGTCAACCAGAGGATGTGTTGCTTTTATTAATGCAATTTATTATTCTCTTGTCTTATATTGGCCAATTCAAATGGGTGATGCTAAGGCTGCTAAAGTCATTTTGCAGATGAAAACGCTGTACACCAATAGAGATTTCTAGGCTGAGGGCCCTTGAGGAAGGCAGATGCAAATACAGCCATCAATCCGAGCCTCACTGTGTACTCTGTATGAGATGATGCATGATCAGATACTGGCTCTATAGGGTTCACTCGAGGACACAATGATCTATATGCAAAACACCAGTGACCTACCAGACAACAGTGAGATTTTTTTTCCTTTATTAATAATTACTAACTAGAGCTTCCAGGTAGACCCTAAATATCAGTAAAATAGCGTAAATCTACTCGTGGCATAAGAAATCCAAGAGCCCAAAGAAAAAGAGCTTCTAATAGGGAATTAGTTCTCTGCTTCCATTGTTCTGATACTTTACCTATAAAAATTATCTTTATACTGTCTGTAAATGCAGCAATGTCAGAATTGGCAAATGTCTCCCCCTCCACCCCAGCCCAAATGAAAACTAAATTTTCTCATATGGAAGTTAGATGGACAAAGAAAAACTAAATTTCTCTATTTATTCTTTTCCTAAACCTAAATCTATCAGTCCCTGACCCAGAATAAGGTTCTGGTGTCAAATACTGTCTTTGATTGGGCTTTAATTTAAACAGCTTACTTTAAAATGAGTCTTTTACTGAATTCAAACAAATCTTTGACAGTCTGCCAACAGAATCATGGAACACTTTGTATAATGATATCACAGCAAATTAGCAGGTGGTCCAAGAGGCTGATGAACTTTCAGAAAGGAAGAGGCTGAACGCAGCTTCTGAGACTATAGGTACACCAGGGCTTCGGGGTTTTTTCTCACTTTTCTTATTCATATGCACACCCGTTGACTGGAAGATACTTTCTCTGCAAGAAGCTGTTTTCAAGGGGTGTTTGGGGAAGACCCTAACGTTTGCCAAGAGTCTGTCAGGGAATCTGTGAAGTCAAAACTACTGCAATCATAGGAACAGGACCTGAGCCTAGCCTTTCACTCTTTCGCACAAGCATAGGGTGAGCTTTTCCACTGCTTAGGTAGCCAACTGACAGAATACCGTGTGTACCATGTACTTTGAACATTTCTTAGTTTTCATTTGTAATACAGTAAATATCAATGTAAGAAGTGGTGGGACAGGTGAATATTTAACTACTGGCTCCGCAAGCGGGCGTAGGGAGAGAAACTTGGATTTGTAGCATTGAAGAAGTCCATGGTCTGAATACTTCTACCACGGCCACTTTCAAGATACCAGTGTGGTATCACTGCACTCCAGAGTCTGAAAGTCAGTTCTTATGAGCCAGTGCAATGTTTAAGTAATGTTGATTTCAACAATGCTTAGACTTGTAAGCAGACTTTAGATCACAGAGTCTAAGACCCACTGCTCTACAGTAATGCTTTACAAACTGTGGGCTGGGACCCATGAGGAATGGAATCAATTAAAAAAAATTTTTTTTTAACCAAAAAGGACAGTAAAAGAAAAAATTTTAAATAAAAAATGATAGTAAGTACCAAAATTATTACAGATAAGAATTATTTTATGAAACTCTCACATACACACACACACACACACACACACACACACAGAGTTTACAAATACTCATCTCCAGGGACAAGAAGCTGAAAAACAATGGGCACTTGATGGCTCTGTGAAATTTCCCTTCATAAGCCTGAGACGGCTAAGTCCCAGCAGAGAAGATTCACAGACAGAAGCAGTATAAGTGAAAGTGGAGACCTGCTGCTTACGTAGCAACCAGATTCCACTGCAAGAGCAGTATCTCAGGGCAGACCAGGCACTACTTTCAGACAGATGTACGCAACAGGGCCTTTTAAAAGCGAAAATGGGTTACCACCTGCCCATGCTTTTTCTACTGATTTTCTACCTCATCTCTAGTTTTCAAATACTTTCATCTCTGAAATTAGAGGTAACACATGGTGATCATTCACTGGGCTGATAACCACAAGGTCAGCAGTACGAAACCACCAGCTGCCCCTCAGGAGAAAGACCAGGCTTTCTAAACTCCTGCAGAGTTACGGTCTTGGAAAACCACAGAGGCAGTCTACTCTGGGCTATTGGGTCAGAATCTAGGCGTCAGAATCACCTCAATGATGGCAGTGAGTTCGGATTTGGTGAGAATGTCAATGGAAACAGGACGCATTAACTACTGCAGGTAGTCACGTCCTAACCCAACTGAGCCCAGATCCAAACCTGACAATAAAGGCAGATGGAGACTCACTTCCATTAAACTACTTTCTATGCACATGTTGAAAGTGCTACAATTTAAGAGTATGATAAACATTTGATATCCTATAAGAAAATCTAAGAGTGTGAGACTATTTACTGAGTAACAAAAACAGCTGTATTGAGGTCTTCTTACACAGGTGGATTTGCTTAATGGGCACAGGCAAATCCTTGTCAAATGTTACAGGATAAAGTGCTAACATGCCTGAAAATTAGCTATTTTCACACTGAACCTTTCTAATAACAACCCATCAGCTCCACTATTAGGATCCTTTAAAAAACACACCAATTTTAGACATTTTCATGCAAATGCCATGCACTATATTTAAATAGTCTAAAAATTGTCAATTGACTTGACTGAGTAAATTACTATAGTTAAAATTTTAATTCCTATACATTGTTTAAGATGTTTACCAATGAAAGATGATTTCTGATTAAAAAGTTATAAAGCGACATACCTTAACAGAATGCTATAATTATCCCCCTCAATATGTCTTTGTATTTTCAAGAGAAGAGGCAGGTTGGTCTTGCGTTTGACCCTTATTTAATAAGCAACCATTTTAAGGAGCTGGGGGTGGGGTGGGGGCTCACTATGTAATGGTTACCTGGCATTGGCAGCTTTCAGGTCACAGAAATGAGTGAGCAAAGTTCTCACAATGTCGTTGCAGACAACTTTAACCATATCCACATGACTCAGTCTGTGGCGCAGCTGTTTGGCGATTTCCCAGAAGTCTTCTGCGAGCAGATGGTAAAGCTGTCCCTCATCTCGGCTGAGGTTCCCATACCAGGAGAGAATGTAGTCTCTGTAACTGTAGTCGAACACTGCCGGGATAAACAAAGCAGGAAGTAAAACACACCGAAAGAAGCAAACACAAGACAACAGTTAGACTGGAATCGGGTCACTTAATATCCATCTACTGCTTAAGATTCATTAGAATATAAAGAATGTAGAAAACAAACAAACTCAGGAAAGGTGATAACCTTTCTCCCTGTGGTCTTTAAAAGGCCTACCCAGAATGTGGCCCTGGGGGTGTGGTGCAGTGGTCATGTGTCGGGCAGCTCACCACAAGGTCTCACATTTTCTTGAAGAGCTCAAGTTTCAAATGGCGTGTTTTGGCTCCTCTCCAGCTAGGTTTTTGGACAACAAACAAAAACACCTGACAGTTACAACATGGTGATGTACTACCACTTTTTTGACCTGTCAGATCCAAATCCATCCTTCTCTCTCGGGCCTTTTGATACTCAGGTTTAACACTCAGCGCCTCCACTGGACTCAGATGAGAACTCTGTGGAGCCAGGGCACCTGCACCTGGAAAACAGTGACCTACCACGACCAAGAGGCCAGCACTGCAAAGGAAAGACGTGTGCATGTTCGTTTCAGTACCTCATTCTTTAACCGCTCCATCATTAAATAACTATGTATGAAGGACTTTCAGTAAGTAAGTGGGGCTCAATGTCTATATTGCTAACCACTGGCAAGAAAAGAAAAGGCAATGCAGAGGAAAAACAAAATCAAGAGACTTTACAAACATCTTGTCATTTTCTGTTTACTTCTACGTATTAAGTGGAATAAGTGACTGTTATATTTTCTGGATTTTACAAAATCAGCCAGATTGCATTTTCATTTAGAATAACTATTTCACTAAGAAGAAAAAGTTTCTGATCCCGATGGGAAGAAATCATAGTTAAAAATAAAGGAAAAAAAATAAAGTGGGTGAATCCTATAATCCCCTTGCTTGGCAATAAACAAGTAGATCATGGTTCCATACATTAATTTGGTTTGATCTTCTCAATGAAATGAAGCAACTTGTTCAAAATCAAATAGGTAGCAAAGCAAGGCTCCTGTCTGCTCCTCAAACATTCTTTCTATTCCATTCATTGTAGTAAATACATCTCTAGCTCAAATGGTTGGAAAATACAGGCATTGTTGCTTTTGTTGAAATTTAATATCAATTAAAACTTAATTTCAACTTATGACAAGTAGGGAATCAAGTAATTATTTTAAAAAAAGAGAGAAAACCCATGCCTTCAAGTCTAGTCCAGCTCATAGCAACCCTACCAATATTTCCAAAATGATAACTCCTTATAGGAGCAAACAGCCTCATCTTTCTCCCATGGAGTAGCTGGTGGATTTAAACCACTGACCTTGCAGTTAGTATTCCAACACTTAACCTGTCAGCATCACCAGGGCCCCAAGAGTGATTATTAAAGTGCTTAATATATTTAAAATATTATACATGCTAAAAGCTTACTGTGAAAGGTAAATTCAGCTACAAAATGTCCTATTACATTTATCAACCACACTTCATATGTTAATTAGTGAAACCCCAAAGCTGCCAAGTGGATCCTGATTCTGACCCGACAGGACAGAGCAGAACTTCCTCATAGGTTTCCCACAGTTGTGAATTTTTAGGGAAGCATCTTTCTCCCACAGCCAACTATTGGGTTCAAACAGCTGACTTTTGGGTTATCAGCCAAGTGCTTTCACCAAAGATCTGCAGCCAAGTCTTCTTCATGTTAGTACAGCTCTAGCTATGCTATGATAATAAAGTGACAAACCAATACAAATGAAAACGAGCATAAATCTACCCATTAATAAACTACCTAAGTGCATTTATACACGTTTATATATGTCAACAAAATGTTTCAAAACACAAGTTAATTCAAGAAGACAAGAAACGGTAGCGCTGTCTTATGGTCTTTATTAAGAAACCAGGAAGGACCCCTGGTGGTGCAGTGGCTAAGTGCGCAGCTGCGCACTGAAAGGGGTTTGCGCCCATCAGCGGCTGCAGTCTGCTTCGTAAGGAGTGCGGCCTTGGAATGCTTGGGGAGCCATTCCCTCTATTGCTCTGAGTCAAAATTGGCTCAACAGCACCAGCTTTGTTTAGGGTTTATTAAGAAATTAAAAAGTACTAATTTTTGAGAAGAAAAAAAAAATGAACATCACTAACTGCAGTGAGAAATGAAAACACACTTATCTTGACTGCCAGAAAAGAAAGCGCCTTTTAAAGGCCACACAAATTCAGATGTACTTAGCCCTCAAATCTATTTTCTACAACTACCCTCAAAGGAAACCAGGAGGAGAAGGAGAACCACTGAAGACTGTAATGAATGGAATAATATGACTGGAGCTTTAGATGTCAGTAAATTAATATGAAAAAAAGGTAAGAAAGTGGGGAGAAACTAAAAGTGAAGAGAGCATTTGTGAGACTACCGTGTTAGTCTAGATTATAAGGTGTGTTAGTCCAGGTTGACAAGAGAAACAAATTCATAGACACATGTGTATAAGAAAGAGCTTTATATATAAGAGCAATTGAATACTGAGAAAACATCCCAGTCCAGATGAAGTCCATAAGTCTGATATTAGCCCATAAGTCCAATACCAATCTATAAATCCCTCTTCAGACTCACAAAACACCTGCAATGATGCTGAATGCAAGGTGATCACAGGTCAGTGGGTGGAAAGTCTTGTGGATCCAGTGGCGGTGAAAGCATCTCAACGCTGACAGAGGTCTCCACGTGGCCCCTTTAGCTCCAGGGCTCTGGCTGCATCAGTGTAGCTCCATAAGACTCATCGTCAGTAATGTCTCCCAGGGAGTGAGCCTGTGTCCCCCTCCAGCTAGCTATTTATCTCCTTAGTACCTCCAAATGAGGTCATCAAGTTGCAACCTGATTGACAGACTAAACTCCACCCCTTCACTCTTAAGTCTCAAATTGACAACAGATTATGTAATTATCACATATGGTGTTAGGCAATCTCTATCGGTGCACTTACAGAACAAGGAACCAGTCAAGTTAAGAAAATAGTATTAGCAAGGAGAAAGCTCCAAGTGAGCCTTTTTATTTATTTTTGTTGTTGTTCACCCTGCTTTTTCCCTAAGAGCAATTCAAAGGTTCGGTCAGCCCTGTGCATTAGGGAGAGTGCCATGAGTATAAATGTCCACGGTCCGAATAGCTTAGAACACAGCAACAGTCCTCACTAACCAGGAACAGGACAAAAAGTCCACGACACATTTAGATGACCTGGATGATTTGTAATGTTTTTTAAAACGCATCAGAATCACTATCTGTATTTGGACGCAAAGTTATCTTCTAGGAGGATGTAGGGTTATTGGTTTAAGTAATTCATTGATCTGTTCATTCATTCAGCAGAAAAATGTATGTGAGTAAATAAAAGCCACCAGGTAGAGCCTGTCGCCAGATGAGCTGAGCTTAAAGGGGTGGGAGAAGTCACTGTCTTCCAGGTGCAAGTCCTGCTTCCTCTGTGTGCTCGTTAGAGACTCTGGTAACCTCTAGAATTGGCCACAGAAGGAGGCTAGCAAAAGAGTTTTATCATATCAAGTTCCCCTTATCTACGATATGCTCCCAACACAATAAAAATTCTATAATTGATGGACAATGACCTTGTAATATCTTCTGGTATCATTATGTGTTATCAAATTATGGTCCTTTTTCATAACCTAGATCATTTGCTAATGTGCACATTCACTGCTGACGTTCAGAAAAGTATTGAGAACCAATAAAAACTAAAAGAAATGCATTCACTTGAAGTGTGCATGAACATTAGATACACTTGTAAAGAACACTATAAAAAGGAAAGTAATGATATTTTCAGACATTCAGAACAGTCTTGTAACACAAAGTGCTGAAAATCTGTATTCCCAATGCTTTGGAAAAGGATAACATATTAAAAAATCATATTCAATTCAAAAATGTTCTATTTAAAATTTAGAACACTACTGAGCAAATGGTGGGTACTTGATAGTTACTGGATTAAATTCTGTGACCCTAATTCTGAGATGATTCAGGGTAGCCTCGTGAAAATTTGGTTATGTAGCTAATGAAATCTCAGTGCATTTAACAGCTAACATGTCACAATTAGGAACTCTTAGGAATGTATTTATCCTTATTCTTCCCTATAACTCACTGTCACCCCTTAATTTGGTTGATTAGTTTGCTCAGAAGTGAAACACAGCACATTTTTTTTTTTAACATTTTATTAGGGGCTCACACAACTGTTATCCCAATCCATACACACATCAATTGTGTAAAGCGCATTTGTACATCGTTTCTCAAAACATTTTCTCTCCATTTAAACCCCC